GATAAACACAAGTGGTACTCACAGAGACTGCTGCCCATCAGCTACAAGCTCTCTGTGTGTGTCTCTCTGTGTGTGTCTCTCTGTGTGTCTCTGTGTGTGTCTCTGTGTGTCTCTCTAGACGTGTCTGACCCAGCCGTGATAGGAGATAAACACAAGTGGTACTCACAGAGACTGCTGCCCATCAGCTACAAGCTCTCTGTGTGTGTCTCTGTGTGTGTGTCTCTGTGTGTGTCTCTCTAGACGTGTCTGACCCAGCCGTGATAGGAGATAAACACAAGTGGTACTCACAGAGACTGCTGCCCATCAGCTACAAGCTCTCTGTGTGTGTCTGTGTGTGTGTCTCTCTGTGTGTCTCTGTGTGTGTCTCTGTGTGTGTCTCTGTGTGTGTGTCTCTGTGTGTGTCTCTGTGTGTGTCTCTGTGTGTCTCTCTAGACGTGTCTGACCCAGCCGTGATAGGAGATAAACACAAGTGGTACTCACAGAGACTGCTGCCCATCAGCTACAAGCTCTCTGTGTGTGTCTCTGTGTGTGTGTCTGTGTCTCTGTGTGTCTCTCTAGACGTGTCTGACCCAGCTGTGATAGGAGATAAATACAAGTGGTACTCACAGAGACTGCTGCCCATCAGCTACAAGCTCTCTGTGTGTGTGTCTCTGTGTGTGTCTCTCTAGACGTGTCTGACCCAGCCGTGATAGGAGATAAACACAAGTGGTACTCACAGAGACTGCTGCCCATCAGCTACAAGCTCTCTGTGTGTGTGTCTCTGTGTGTGTGTCTCTGTGTGTGTCTCTCTAGACGTGTCTGACCCAGCCGTGATAGGAGATAAACACAAGTGGTACTCACAGAGACTGCTGCCCATCAGCTACAAGCTTCATGATCCCAGCTCGTCTCTGTGCAGCTGGGTTGGTGGGGGGGGGCGCCATGGGGGACGATGTGGGGGGCTCCCTGCCCACCGACGATGACAGGTGGGCGGGTAGTGGTGGTGGATGGGTTGGTGGGTGGTTGAGTGGGTGGTTGAGTGGGTGGGTGGTTGAGTGGGTGGGTGGTTGAGTGGATGGTTGAGTGGGTGGGTGGTTGAGTGGGTTGGTGGTTGAGTGGGTGGGTGGGTGGTTGAGTGAATGGTTGAGTGGGTAGGTGGTTGAGTGGATGGTTGAGTGGGTGGGTGGGTGAGTGGGTTGGTGGTTGAGTGGGTGGGTGGTTGAGTGGGTGGGTGGTTGAGTGGGTGGGTGGTTGGGTGGGTAGGTGGTTGAGTGGGTGGGTGGTTGAGTGGGTGGGTGGTTGAGTGGGTGGGTGGTTAAGTGGATGGTTGAGTGGGTAGGTGGTTGAGTGGGAGGGTGGTTGAGTGGGTGGTTGAGTGGGTGGGTGGTTGAGTGGGTGGGTGGTTGAGTGGATGGTTGAGTGGGTGGGTGGTTGAGTGGGTTGGTGGTTGAGTGGGTGGTTGGGTGGGTGGTTGAGTGAATGGTTGAGTGGGTAGGTGGTTGAGTGGATGGTTGAGTGGGTGGGTGGTTGAGTGGGTTGGTGGTTGTGTGGTTGGGTGGTTGAGTGGATGGTTGAGTGGGTGGGTGGGTGGTTGAGTGGGTGGTTGAGTGGGTGGGTGGTTGAGTGGGTAGGTGGTTGCGTGGGTCGGTGGGTGGTTGAGTGGGTGGGTGGTTGAGTGGATGGTTGAGTGGGTGGGTGGTTGAGTGGGTGGGTGGTTGAGTGGGTGGGTGGTTGGTTGAGCGGGTGGGTGGTTGAGTGGGTGGGTGGTTGGTTGAGTGGGTGGGTGGTTGAGTGGATGGTTGAGTGGTTGAGTGGATGGTTGAGTGGGTGGGTGGGTGGTTGAGTGGGTGGGTGGGTGGTTGAGTGGGTGGGTGGTTTTGTGGGTGGGTACATGAGTATCACTGGAATGATAATGTTGTTGGTGATGTTGTTGATGATGTTTTGGTTATTAATTATGTTGTTGTTGCTGTTGTTGGTGGTGTTGTTGTTGCTGTTGTTGTTGATGGCAGTGGCAGTGAGAGCGATGGGGATGATGACTCCAGCTCCTCCTACTCCTCACTGGGCGACTTCGTCAACGACATGAAACACGCTGACATCACCGGTACCACCACAACTACAACCACCACTACAACTACAACCACCACAAGTACAACCACCACAACCAGCACAACCACCACCACCACTACAACCACCACCACAACCACAACCACCACAACCATCACAACCATCACCACCACCACAACTACCACCACCACCACCATAACCACCACAACCACCACAACCACAACCACCACCACCTGCGTGTCTCACCCCGTGTCTCTCACCCCACGTGTCTCACCCCACGTGTCTCACCCCGTGTCTCACCCCGTGTCTCACCCCGTGTCTCACCCCGTGTCTCACCCCATGTCTCTCACCCCGTGTCTCACCCGCCGTGTCTCACCCCATGTCTCTCACCCCGTGTCTCACCCCCCGTGTCTCACCCCGTGTCTCACCCCGTGTCTCCCCCCGCGTGTCTCACCCCGTGTCTCACCCCCCGTGTCTCACCCCCGTGTCTCACCCCACGTGTCTCCCTCCGTGTCTCACCCCACGTGTCTCTCCCCCCGTGTCTCTCCCCCCGTGTCTCTCCCACCGTGTCTCACCCCGCGTGTCTCTCCCCACGTGTCTCACCCCGTGTCTCCCTCCGTGTCTCACCCCGCGTGTCTCACCCCGTGTCTCACCCCGTGTCTCACCCACGTGTCTCACCCCGTGTCTCACCCCCCGTGTCTCACCCCCCGTGTCTCACCCCCCGTGTCTCACCCCGCGTGTCTCTCCCCCCGTGTCTCACCCCCCGTGTCTCACCCCGTGTCTCTCCCCCCGTGTCTCTCCCCCCGTGTCTCACCCCCCGTGTCTCACCCCGTGTCTCTCCCCCCGTGTCTCTCCCCCCGTGTCTCTCCCCCCGTGTCTCTCCCCCCGTGTCTCCCCCCGTGTCTCTCTCCGTGTCTCACCCCACGTGTCTCACCCCACGTGTCTCACCCCCCGTGTCTCTCCCCCCGAGTCTCACCCCCCGTGTCTCACCCCCCGTGTCTCACCCCACGTGTCTCACCCCCCGTGTCTCACCCCGTGTCTCACCCCCCCCGTGTCTCTCCCCCCGTGTCTCTCTCCGTGTCTCACCCCGTATCTCACCCCGTGTCTCACCCCCCGTGTCTCTCCCCCCGTGTCTCACCCCACGTGTCTCTCCCCACGTGTCTCACCCCGCGTGTCTCACCCTGTGTCTCACCCCGTGTCTCCCCCCGTGTCTCTCACCCGTGTCTCACCCACGTGTCTCCCCCCGTGTCTCTCTCCGTGTCTCTCACCCTGTGTCTCTCACCCCGCGTCTCACCCCACGTGTCTCCCCCCGTGTCTCACCCCGTGTCTCTCCCCCCGTGTCTCACCCCCCGTGTCTCTCCCCCCGTGTCTCACCCCCCGTGTCTCTCCCCCCGTGTCTCACCCCCCGTGTCTCTCCCCCCGTGTCTCACCCCCCGTGTCTCTCCCCCCGTGTCTCTCCCCCCGTGTCTCACCCCCCGTGTCTCTCTCCGTGTCTCACCCCCCGTGTCTCTCCCCGCGTGTCTCTCTCCGTGTCTCTCCCCGCGTGTCTCCCACCAGCTTCTCCTGTGCTGCGTCTCCCCCCTGCGGCTGTGGGGAGCCCTGTGTCTCCCCCCGTGTCTCACCCCGTGTCTCACCCCGTGTCTCACCCCCCGTGTCTCTCTCCGTGTCTCTCCCCACGTGTCTCTCTCCGTGTGTCTCACCCCACGTGTCTCTCCGTGTCTCACCCCGTGTCTCACCCCCCGTGTCTCACCCCGTGTGTCTCACCCCACGTGTCTCTCCGTGTCTCACCCCACGTGTCTCACCCCGTGTGTCTCACCCCACGTGTCTCTCCCCGCGTGTCTCTCTCCGTGTCTCTCCCCCCGTGTCTCTCTCCGTGTCTCTCCCCCCGTGTCTCCCCCCGTGTCCCACCCCGTGTCTCACCCCACGTGTCTCACCCCGTGTCTCTCTCCGTGTGTCTCTCCGTGTCTCCCACCAGCTTCTCCTGTGCTGCGTCTCCCCCCTGCGGCTGTGGGGAGCCCTGTGTCTCACCCCGTGTGTCTCACCCCGTGTGTCTCACCCCCCGTGTCTCTCCCCCCGTGTCTCACCCCCCGTGTCTCACCCCACGTGTCTCACCCCACGTGTCTCCCTCCGTGTCTCACCCCCCGTGTCTCTCCCCCCGTGTCTCTCCCCCCGTGTCTCACCCCCCGTATCTCACCCCGTGTCTCTCCCCCCGTGTCTCACCCCCCGTGTCTCACCCCACGTGTCTCACCCCGCGTGTCTCACCCCCCGTGTCTCACCCCGTGTCTCACCCCCCCCGTGTCTCACCCCCCGTGTCTCACCCCGTGTGTCTCACCCCACGTGTCTCTCTACGTGTCTCACCCCCCGTGTCTCTCCCCCCGTGTCTCACCCCGTGTGTCTCACCCCACGTGTGTCTCACCCCGTGTGTCTCACCCCGTGTGTCTCACCCCACGTGTGTCTCACCCCGTGTGTCTCACCCCACGTGTCTCACCCCACGTGTCTCACCCACGTGTCTCACCCCGTGTGTCTCACCCCCCGTGTCTCACCCCGTGTCTCTCTCCTTGTCTCACCCCGCGTGTCTCACCCCGTGTGTCTCACCCCGTGTCTCACCCCCCGTGTCTCTCCCCCCGTGTCTCTCCCCCCGTGTCTCTCCCCCCGTGTCTCTCCCCCCGTGTCTCTCCCCCCATGTCTCTCCCCCCATGTCTCACCCCCCGTGTCTCACCCCGTGTCTCACCCCCCGTGTCTCACCCCCCGTGTCTCTCTCCGTGTCTCTCCCCCCGAGTCTCTCCCCCCGAGTCTCACCCCCCGTGTCTCACCCCCCGTGTCTCACCCCCCGTGTCTCACCCCCCGTGTCTCACCCCCCGTGTCTCACCCCCCGTGTCTCTCCCCCACGTGTCTCACCCCCCCCACGTGTCTCACCTCCCACGTGTCTCACCCCCCCACGTGTCTCACCTCCCACGTGTCTCACCCCCCGTGTCTCACCCCGTGTCTCACCCCCCCCGTGTCTCTCCCCCCGTGTCTCTCTCCGTGTCTCACCCCGTATCTCACCCCGTGTCTCACCCCCCGTGTCTCTCCCCCCGTGTCTCACCCCACGTGTCTCTCCCCACGTGTCTCACCCCGCGTGTCTCTCCCTGTGTCTCACCCCGTGTCTCCCCCCGTGTCTCTCACCCGTGTCTCACCCACGTGTCTCCCCCCGTGTCTCTCTCCGTGTCTCTCACCCCGTGTCTCTCACCCCGCGTCTCACCCCACGTGTCTCCCCCCGTGTCTCACCCCGTGTCTCTCCCCCCGTGTCTCACCCCCCGTGTCTCTCCCCCCGTGTCTCTCACCCCGTATCTCACCCCCCATGTCTCACCCCGCGTGTCTCACCCCCCGTGTCTCTCCCCCCGTGTCTCACCCCCCGTGTCTCTCCCCCCGTGTCTCACCCCCCGTGTCTCTCCCCCCGTGTCTCTCCCCCCGTGTCTCACCCCCCGTGTCTCTCTCCGTGTCTCACCCCCCGTGTCTCACCCCCCGTGTCTCTCTCCGTGTCTCTCCCCACGTGTCTCTCTCCGTGTGTCTCACCCCACGTGTCTCTCCGTGTCTCACCCCGTGTCTCACCCCGTGTGTCTCACCCCACGTGTCTCTCCCCGCGTGTCTCTCTCCGTGTCTCTCCCCCCGTGTCTCTCTCCGTGTCTCTCCCCCCGTGTCTCCCCCCGTGTCCCACCCCGTGTCTCACCCCACGTGTCTCACCCCCCGTGTCTCTCTCCGTGTGTCTCTCCGTGTCTCCCACCAGCTTCTCCTGTGCTGCGTCTCCCCCCTGCGGCTGTGGGGAGCCCTGTGTCTCACCCCGTGTGTCTCACCCCACGTGTCTCACCCCCCGTGTCTCACCCTGTGTCTCACCCCGTGTGTCTCACCCCGTGTGTCTCACCCCCCGTGTCTCTCCCCCCGTGTCTCACCCCCCGTGTCTCACCCCACGTGTCTCACCCCACGTGTCTCACCCCGCGTGTCTCACCCCCCGTGTCTCACCCCGTGTCTCACCCCCCCCGTGTCTCACCCCCCGTGTCTCACCCCGTGTGTCTCACCCCACGTGTCTCTCTACGTGTCTCATCCCCCGTGTCTCTCCCCCCGTGTCTCACCCCCCGTGTCTCTCCCCCCGTGTCTCTCCCCCCGTGTCTCACTTCCCGTGTCTCTCTCCGTGTCTCACCCCCCGTGTCTCTCCCCGCGTGTCTCTCTCCGTGTCTCTCCCCGCGTGTCTCCCACCAGCTTCTCCTGTGCTGCGTCTCCCCCCTGCGGCTGTGGGGAGCCCTGTGTCTCACCCCGTGTGTCTCACCCCGTGTGTCTCACCCCACGTGTCTCTCCGTGTCTCACCCCCCGTGTCTCACCCCGTGTGTCTCACCCCACGTGTCTCTCCCCGCGTGTCTCTCTCCGTGTCTCTCCCCCCGTGTCTCTCTCCGTGTCTCTCCCCCCGTGTCTCTCTCCGTGTCTCTCCCCCCGTGTCTCACCCCACGTGTCTCACCCCGTGTGTCTCACCCCACGTGTCTCTCCCCGCGTGTCTCTCTCCGTGTCTCTCCCCCCGTGTCTCTCTCCGTGTCTCTCCCCCCGTGTCTCCCCCCGTGTCCCACCCCGTGTCTCACCCCACGTGTCTCACCCCGTGTCTCTCTCCGTGTGTCTCTCCGTGTCTCCCACCAGCTTCTCCTGTGCTGCGTCTCCCCCCTGCGGCTGTGGGGAGCCCTGTGTCTCACCCCGTGTGTCTCACCCCGTGTGTCTCACCCCCCGTGTCTCACCCCCCGTGTCTCACCCCACGTGTCTCACCCCACGTGTCTCCCTCCGTGTCTCACCCCCGTGTCTCTCCCCCCGTGTCTCTCCCCCCGTGTCTCACCCCCCGTATCTCACCCCGTGTCTCTCCCCCCGTGTCTCTCCCCCCGTGTCTCTCCCCCCGTGTCTCACCCCCCGTATCTCACCCCGTGTCTCTCCCCCCGTGTCTCACCCCCCGTGTCTCACCCCACGTGTCTCACCCCGCGTGTCTCACCCCCCGTGTCTCACCCCGTGTCTCACCCCCCCCGTGTCTCACCCCCCGTGTCTCACCCCGTGTGTCTCACCCCACGTGTCTCTCTACGTGTCTCACCCCCCGTGTCTCTCCCCCCGTGTCTCACCCCGTGTGTCTCACCCCACGTGTGTCTCACCCCGTGTGTCTCACCCCGTGTGTCTCACCCCACGTGTGTCTCACCCCGTGTGTCTCACCCCACGTGTCTCACCCCACGTGTCTCACCCACGTGTCTCACCCCGTGTGTCTCACCCCCCGTGTCTCACCCCGTGTCTCTCTCCTTGTCTCACCCCGCGTGTCTCACCCCGCGTGTCTCACCCCGTGTGTCTCACCCCGTGTCTCACCCCCCGTGTCTCTCCCCCCGTGTCTCTCCCCCCGTGTCTCTCCCCCCGTGTCTCTCCCCCTGTGTCTCTCCCCCCATGTCTCACCCCCCGTGTCTCACCCCGTGTCTCACCCCCCGTGTCTCACCCCACGTGTCTCACCCCGCGTGTCTCACCCCACGTGTCTCTCTCCGTGTCTCACCCCGCGTGTCTCACCCCACGTGTCTCACCCCGCGTGTCTCACCCCACGTGTCTCACCCCCCGTGTCTCTCCCCCCGTGTCTCCCCCCGTGTCTCTCTCCGTGTCTCACCCCACGTGTCTCACCCCCCGTGTCTCACCCCCCGTGTCTCTCCCCCCGAGTCTCACCCCCCGTGTCTCACCCCCCGTGTCTCACCCCCCGTGTCTCACCCCCCGTGTCTCACCCCCCGTGTCTCACCCCCCGAGTCTCACCCCCCGTGTCTCACCCCCCGTGTCTCACCCCCCGTGTCTCACCCCGTGTCTCTCCCCCCGTGTCTCTCCCCCCGTGTCTCTCCCCCCGTGTCTCTCCCCCCGTGTCTCCCCCCGTGTCTCTCTCCGTGTCTCACCCCACGTGTCTCACCCCACGTGTCTCACCCCCCGTGTCTCTCCCCCCGAGTCTCACCCCCCGTGTCTCACCCCCCGTGTCTCACCCCACGTGTCTCACCCCCCGTGTCTCACCCCGTGTCTCACCCCCCCCGTGTCTCTCCCCCCGTGTCTCTCTCCGTGTCTCACCCCGTATCTCACCCCGTGTCTCACCCCCCGTGTCTCTCCCCCCGTGTCTCACCCCACGTGTCTCTCCCCACGTGTCTCACCCCGCGTGTCTCACCCTGTGTCTCACCCCGTGTCTCCCCCCGTGTCTCTCACCCGTGTCTCACCCACGTGTCTCCCCCCGTGTCTCTCTCCGTGTCTCTCACCCCGTGTCTCTCACCCCGCGTCTCTCACCCCGCGTCTCACCCCACGTGTCTCCCCCCGTGTCTCACCCCGTGTCTCTCACCCCGTGTCTCACCCCCCGTGTCTCTCCCCCCGTGTCTCTCACCCCGTATCTCACCCCCCATGTCTCACCCCGCGTGTCTCTCCCCCCGTGTCTCACCCCCCGTGTCTCTCCCCCCGTGTCTCACCCCCCGTGTCTCTCCCCCCGTGTCTCACCCCCCGTGTCTCTCCCCCCGTGTCTCTCCCCCCGTGTCTCACCCCCCGTGTCTCTCTCCGTGTCTCACCCCCCGTGTCTCTCCCCGCGTGTCTCTCTCCGTGTCTCTCCCCGCGTGTCTCCCACCAGCTTCTCCTGTGCTGCGTCTCCCCCCTGCGGCTGTGGGGAGCCCTGTGTCTCCCCCCGTGTCTCACCCCGTGTCTCACCCCGTGTCTCACCCCCCGTGTCTCTCTCCGTGTCTCTCCCCACGTGTCTCTCTCCGTGTGTCTCACCCCACGTGTCTCTCCGTGTCTCACCCCGTGTCTCACCCCGTGTGTCTCACCCCACGTGTCTCTCCCCGCGTGTCTCTCTCCGTGTCTCTCCCCCCGTGTCTCTCTCCGTGTCTCTCCCCCCGTGTCTCCCCCCGTGTCCCACCCCGTGTCTCACCCCACGTGTCTCACCCCGTGTCTCTCTCCGTGTGTCTCTCCGTGTCTCCCACCAGCTTCTCCTGTGCTGCGTCTCCCCCCTGCGGCTGTGGGGAGCCCTGTGTCTCACCCCGTGTGTCTCACCCCACGTGTCTCACCCCCCGTGTCTCACCCTGTGTCTCACCCCGTGTGTCTCACCCCGTGTGTCTCACCCCCCGTGTCTCTCCCCCCGTGTCTCACCCCCCGTGTCTCACCCCACGTGTCTCACCCCCCGTGTCTCACCCCGTGTCTCACCCCCCCCGTGTCTCACCCCCCGTGTCTCACCCCGTGTGTCTCACCCCACGTGTCTCTCTACGTGTCTCACCCCCCGTGTCTCTCCCCCCGTGTCTCACCCCCCGTGTCTCTCCCCCCGTGTCTCTCCCCCCGTGTCTCACTTCCCGTGTCTCTCTCCGTGTCTCACCCCCCGTGTCTCTCCCCGCGTGTCTCTCTCCGTGTCTCTCCCCGCGTGTCTCCCACCAGCTTCTCCTGTGCTGCGTCTCCCCCCTGCGGCTGTGGGGAGCCCTGTGTCTCACCCCGTGTGTCTCACCCCGTGTGTCTCACCCCACGTGTCTCTCCGTGTCTCACCCCACGTGTCTCACCCCGTGTGTCTCACCCCACGTGTCTCTCCCCGCGTGTCTCTCTCCGTGTCTCTCCCCCCGTGTCTCTCTCCGTGTCTCTCCCCCCGTGTCTCTCTCCGTGTCTCTCTCCGTGTCTCTCCCCCCGTGTCTCACCCCACGTGTCTCACCCCGTGTGTCTCACCCCACGTGTCTCTCCCCGCGTGTCTCTCTCCGTGTCTCTCCCCCCGTGTCTCTCTCCGTGTCTCTCCCCCCGTGTCTCCCCCCGTGTCCCACCCCGTGTCTCACCCCACGTGTCTCACCCCGTGTCTCTCTCCGTGTGTCTCTCCGTGTCTCCCACCAGCTTCTCCTGTGCTGCGTCTCCCCCCTGCGGCTGTGGGGAGCCCTGTGTCTCACCCCACGTGTCTCACCCCACGTGTCTCACCCCGTGTCTCACCCTGTGTCTCACCCCGTGTGTCTCACCCCACGTGTCTCACCCCGCGTGTCTCTCCGTGTCTCACCCCGCGTGTCTCTCCGTGTCTCACCCCATGTCTCACCCCGCGTGTCTCTCCCCGTGTCTCTCTCCGTGTCTCTCCCCACGTGTCTCCCACCAGCTTCTCCTGTGCTGCGTCTCCCCCCTGCGGCTGTGGGGAGCCCTGTGTCTCACCCCCCGTGTCCCACCCCGTGTCTCACCCCACGTGTCTCACCCCCCGTGTCTCTCTCCGTGTCTCTCCGTGTCTCACCCCCCGTGTCTCACCCCGTGTCTCACCCCGTGTGTCTCACCCCACGTGTCTCACCCCACGTGTCTCACCCCGTGTCTCTCACCCCACGTGTCTCTCCCCCCGTGTCTCTCCCCCCGTGTCTCTCACCCCGTGTCTCTCTCCGTGTGTCTCTCCGTGTCTCCCACCAGCTTCTCCTGTGCTGCGTCTCCCCCCTGCGGCTGTGGGGAGCCCTGTGTCTCACCCCGTGTCTCACCCCGTGTCTCACCCCGTGTGTCTCACCCCGTGTCTCTCTCCGTGTCTCTCCCCCCGTGTCTCTCCCCCCATGTCTCACCCCGCGTGTCTCCCCCCGTGTCTCTCTCCGTGTGTCTCTCCCCGCGTGTCTCCCACCAGCTTCTCCTGTGCTGCGTCTCCCCCCTGCGGCTGTGGGGAGCCCTGTGTCTCACCCCACGTGTCTCACCCCGTGTGTCTCACCCCGTGTCTCACCCCACGTGTCTCACCCCACGTGTCTCACCCCACGTGTCTCTCCCCACGTGTCTCCCACCAGCTTCTCCTGTGCTGCGTCTCCCCCCTGCGGCTGTGGGGAGCCCTGTGGACGTGGAGTTCCAGGACTTCCAGGAGTACAGCCGGAGCGGCGGAGACACCGCGGGGACAACGGCGGACAAGGAGACACCGGGAGACGGCGCGGGGACAGGGGGAGACGCGGTGGGGAGACACGGGGGGGGGGGAGACACGGGGGGTGAGACACGGGGGGGGAGACACGGGGTGGGAGACACGGGGGGGGAGACACGGGGGGGGAGATCACGGGGGGGGGAGAGACACACGGGGACAGGGGGAGACACGGGGGGGGGAGACACGGGGGGGAGACACGGGGGGGGAGAGACACACGGGGACAGGGGGAGACACGGTGGGGAGACACGGGGGGGGAGACACGGGGAGGGAGACACGGGGGGGGAGACACGGGGAGGGAGACACGGGGGGGGAGATCACGGGGGGGGAGAGACACACGGGGACAGGGGGAGACACGGGGGGGAGACACGGGGGGGGGAGACACGGGGGGGGGAGATACGGGGGGGAGACACGGGGGGGAGACACGGGAGGGGAGACACGGGGGGGGAGACACGGGGGGGGAGACACGGGGGGGAGACACGGGAGGGGAGACACGGGGGGGGAGACACGGGGGGGGAGACACGGGGGGGAGACACGGGGGGGAGACACGGGGGGGGAGAGACACACGGGGGGGGAGACACGCGGGGAGAGAGACACACGGAGACACGCGGGGACAGGGGAGACGCCACGGGGACAGGGGGAGACACGCGGGAGACACGGGGACACGTGGGGACACGCGGGGAGAGAGAGGGAGACACGCTGTCACTCCACCCCTACCCCAAACCCTCAGGTGGAGTTGCCCAGCACAACCAACATCAACAACCACCTTGCAGCCACAACAATCACCACGACAACAACAACAACAACAATCGAAGCCTCCAACGGCCCAGTATCAGCAGCAGCATCATCAGTAACACCATCATCATCATCAGCAGCAGCAGCGTCATCAGTAACACCATCATCAGCAGCAGCAGCATCATCATCATCAGTGGTACCATCACCGTCACCAGCACCACCACCACCATCATCATCATCACCACCACCACCACCATCATCATCACCACCATCATCATCACCGTCACCCGCACCACCACCACCACCACCACCACCGCCATCATCACCATCACCATCAGTGGTGCCATCGCCGGCAGCAGCAGCAGCAGCAGCAGCACCATCATCACCGCGGCCACCATCGGCACCACCATCGGCACCACCATCGCCACCGTCACCACCATCGGCACCGTCACCAGCAACGGGGACGGTGCCCTGGGGGGTGACGTCGGCCGGGCTGCGTCCGGTGTTGCCGGCGGTGTTGCCGGCGGTGTTGCCGGGCCACCGCCACCCCGGCGCCACCGGCGCCACCGGCGTCACCGGCGTCGCCGGGGGCAACAACCCGTACTTTGAGCCGCAGTACGGCTTCCCGGGCGACGAGGAGTGTGGCGACGAGGGCGGCGAGGAGAGCTACACTCCCCCCCGGCCGCTGGCGCCCCCAGCGCCTGCTCGCCCGCCCGCTCACCCTCACCAACAACAACAACAGGCTCACCAACAACAGGCTCACCAACAGGCTCACCAACAGGCTCACCAACAACAGGCTCAGCAACACGCTCACCACGCCGCCATCAGCGTCGCTACGCAGCCGCGTCGCTTGCTCGGGTGAGCATGTGGTGGGTGGGTGGGTTGGTGGGTGAGTGGGTGGGTGAGTGGGTGGGTGGGTGGGTGAGTGAGTGGGTGGGTGAGTGGGTGGGTGGGTGGGTGAGTGAGTGGGTGAGTGGGTGAGTGAGTGGGTGAGTGGGTGTGTGGGTGGGTGAGTGGGTGAGTGGGTGGGTGAGTGGGTGGGTGGGTGGGTGAGTGGGTGGGTGGGTGAGTGGGTGGGTGGGTGGGTAAATGAGTGGGTGGGTAAGTGAGTGGGTGGGTGAGTGGGTGGGTGGGTGAGTGAGTGGGTGGGTGGGTGGGTGAGTGGGTGGGTGGGTGGGTGAGTGGGTGAGTGGGTGAGAGGGTGAGTGAGTGGGTGGGTGAGTGGGTGGGTGAGTGAGTGGGTGGGTGGGTGAGTGAGTGGGTGGGTGAGTGAGTGGGTGGGTGAGTGGGTGGGTAAGTGAGTGGGTGGGTGGGTGGGTAAGTGAGTGGGTGGGTGAGTGAGTGGGTGAGTGTGTGCGGTTTCAGGAAAGTGCGGTCCTGCACAGATGCCATATTTTCTGTTCGTCTGCTACAGCAGAGGTGTAGGGAATTCCAACAAGACCTACATCTCTGCTTTATTGACCTGGTCAAGGCCTATGATACCATCAGTAGGCCTGGGCTCTGGGTTGTTCTTCGTGCTTTTGGAGTCCCTGACCCCCTGCTCACGATCATTAAGGACCTTCATGATGGTGAGCGGGCCCGGGTAAAACTACGTGGCCGGGAGTCAGAGCCATTCCCTGTACACCTTGGGGTGCGACAGGGATGTCCTCTGGCTCCCACATTATTTAACATCTATTTTGACCACGTAGTTCGTGAAGCCTTCAATAGCTCTACCGGGGGAATCTCCATATGGTACAGATATAATGGGAGTCTGATCGATGCCCGGGTGCAGTCAAGGGATGGCTCCCTATTGCTCAACCACGTTATGTATGCTGATGATTTGGTAATAGCTGCTCAGTCAGAGGAGGAGTTGGAGACGCTGCTGCTGAGACTGGAGCGTGCCACTAAGAGGTGGGGCCTTACCATCAGCCCCACCAAAACTAAGCACCTGCCTGGGTATTTTGTACCATCGGACACTCCACCCCCACAACTCCCAATCGGTGATGGGGCAGTTGTGGAGAGAGTGGAGAGTTTCCCATACCTGGGCAGTGTGCCTATGACTGGCTCCAGTTTAACAGCAGAGGTCTCACTCAGAATCAGTCGAGCGGCAATATCTTTTCATCGGTTGCGTAACGCTGTGTGGAAGCTACCTGGTCTGTCGCTCCGCACTAAGCTTCAGGTCTTCTCGGCCACGGTCATTCCCTCCCTTCTCTACGCTTGCGAAACGTGGACCCCCCTAATGGAACATCTTCGCCGGTTAGAAACATTTAGGCTGGCCTGCCTACGATCCATCCTGGGTTTAACCAGACTGGATTGTGTGAGGAGCTCACAAATCCTTGAAAGATCTGGGCAAGGTCCCATCGGTGAGCTCCTCCGGCGGGCAAGGCTGCGATGGCTGGGTCATGTAGCCCGCATGCCCAGCAACCGCATGCCGAAACAGCTTTTGTTTGGCCGGATTGAGGGGGCTAAGCGGGCACGGCACGGGCTGGAGAAGAGATGGAGTGACGTGGTACAGGAGGACGTGGAGCTGAGTGGACTTGCCGATGACTGGTACCAGCGGTGTCAAGATCGGCCTCTGTGGAGGAGGCTCGTGAAGGACGCTGCTACTGGGCAGTTGGAGGCAGTCGCCCTCCAACAACAACGGAGGGCGGAGGAGCGATGCTCACAACAACGAGCGGAGCGCCGGGTGGCTAAAGCACAGTAGGTTGGCACAGTAGGGGGCATAGGTGGTGCACCAGCCAGTCATCTCAGTCAGTCGACCCGTGGCACCTGGGTCTGCCCTGTGACCTGCCAGCGGGCGTTCGACGCTTCACGTGGCTTCAAGGTGCACCTAGCCTGGCACAAGCGTCGTGGTGACGTCACCGCCACTTAGTGGCAAATGGCGGTTGTTGTTGTGTGTGTCTGTGTGTGTGTGAGTGAGTGGGTAAGCGAGTGAGTGAGTGTGTGGGTGGGTGTGTGAGTGAGTGAGTGTGTTGGTGGGTGTGTGAGTGAGTGAGTGTTTGGGTGGGTGGGTGAGTGAGTGTGTGTGTTTGTGAGTGCGTGGGTGAGTGAGTGTGTGTGTTTGTGAGTGCGTGGGTGAGTGAGTGTGTGTGAGTGAGTGAGTGCGTGGGTGAGCGCGTGGGTGGGTGAGCGCGTGGGTGAGCATGTAGGTGAGCGCTTGGGGTGGGTGTCTGGGTGAGTGTGTGGATGAATGTGTGGGTTAGTGTGCATCTGTGCTTGTGTATCTCTCTCTGTCTGTGTCTGTGTCACTCTGTGTGTCTGTGTCTCTGTGCGTGTGTCTCTCTCTGTGTGTGTGTCTCTCTGTGTGTCTGTGTCTCTGTGCGTGTCTCTCTCTCTCTGTGTGTGTCTCTCTGTGTGTCTGTGTCTCTGTGCGTGTGTCTCTCTCTGTGTGTGTGTGTCTGTGCATGTGTCTCTGTGTCTCTCTGTGAGTGTTTCTCTGTGTTTGTGTGTCTCTGTGTCTCTCTCTCGCTCTGTGTCTCTCCGTGTGTGTAAGTGGGGAGCAGTGGTGTAGTGGTTGGCACTACGAACCCGGCAACCCGGGACGATTTTCTGAACCGTTCCTGGGCCTCCTCTAGGTCGACTCGGCCTCAATCGAGTACCTGGTGTAGTGGTACTGTAGTAGTAGTAAAACTACTACACTCACTACTACACTCGCTGCTAACAGCACTTGCCCCTACAGCCCTGTTAGAGGCTACACTGGGAATCTTTGTCTGTGTATAAGTGCTGCTGCTACTCGCTACTCACCACTCACTCACCACTCACTCACCACTCACTCACTCAACACTCACTCACTCACTCACCCACTCACTCACTCACCACTCACACACTTACCCACCCACTCACTCACCCACTTACCTACCCACTCACCCACCCACTCACCCACCCACTCACTCACCCACTCACCCACCCACTCACTCACCACTCACTCACCACTCACCCACTCACTCAACACTCACTCACTCACCACTCACTCACCACTCACTCACCACTCACTCACCCACTCACCACCCACTCACCACTCACTCACCACTCACTCACCACTCACTCACCACTCACTCACCCACTCACTCACCACCCACTCACCACTCACCCACTCACCACCCACTCACCACTCACTCACTCAACCACTCACTCACCCACTCACTCACTCAACCACTCACTCACCACCCACTCACTCACCCACCCACTCACTCACCCACCCACCCACTCACTCACCACTCACTCACCACTCACTCACGACTCACCACTCACCACTCGCTCACCACTCACCACACGGCAACAAACGCACCGTGGGTGGGCCACGTTGGGGTGTTGCGTTTCCAGACGCTCCCTGCAGCAGAGAGGCTGCCCGCTGCTCTGTCAGGAGCTGGACCGGTACCGTCTGGATCTCTGCGGTGTTCAGGAGACGCGTAGATTGGTTCTAGCTCCAGTCACTATTATTGTCTCTCCTCCCTGTGTCTCCCACGTGTCTCTCACCGTGTCTATCACCGTGTCTCCCACGTGTCTCTCACCGTGTCTATCACCGTGTCTATCACCGTGTCTCTCACCGTGTCTATCACCGTGTCTATCACCGTGTCTCCCACGTGTCTCTCACCGTGTCTATCACCGTGTCTCTCACGTGTCTCCCCGTGTCTCCCCCGTGTCCCCCCCCGCCCCGTGTCTCCCCGTGTCTCCCCTTTGGCTCCCCGTGTCTCCTCCCCGTGTCTCCCCCGTGTCTCCCACGTGTCTCTCACCGTGTCTCCCCTGTGTCTCCCCTGTGTCTCCTCGTGTCTCCCCGTGTCTCCCCTGTGTCTTCCTGTGTCTCCCACGTGTCTCTCACCGTGTCTCTTACCGTGTCTCGCCATGTCTCCGCTCCCCCCGTGTCTCCCCCGTGTCTCCCACGTGTCTCTCACCGTGTCTCTTACCGTGTCTCTTACCGTGTCTCTTACCGTGTCTCCCACGTGTCTCCCCCCCCCTGTGTCTCCCCGTGTCTCCCACGTGTCTCTCACCGTGTCTCCCCTGTGTCTCCCCTGTGTCTCCTCGTGTCTCCCCGTGTCTCCCCTGTGTCTTCCTGTGTCTCCCACGTGTCTCTCACCGGGTCTCTTACCGTGTCTCCCCAAGTCTCCGCTCCCCCCGTGTCTCCCCCGTGTCTCCCACGTGTCTCTCACCGTGTCTCTTACCGTGTCTCTTACCGTGTCTCTTACCGTGTCTCCCACGTGTCTCCCCCCCCCCTGTGTCTCCCCGTGTCTCCCACGTGTCTCTCACCGTGTCTCCCCTGTGTCTCCCCTGTGTCTCCTCGTGTCTCCCCGTGTCTCCCCTGTGTCTTCCTGTGTCTCCCACGTGTCTCTCACCGTGTCTCTTACCGTGTCTCCCCATGTCTCCGCTCCCCCCGTGTCTCCCCCGTGTCTCCCACGTGTCTCTCACCGTGTCTCTTACCGTGTCTCTTACCGTGTCTCTTACCGTGTCTCCCACGTGTCTCCCCCCCCCCGTGTCTCCCCGTGTCTCCCACGTGTCTCTCACCGTGTCTCCCCTGTGTCTCCCCTGTGTCTCCTCGTGTCTCCCACGTGTCTCTCACCGTGTCTCTTACCGTGTCTCCCCATGTCTCCGCTCCCCCCGTGTCTCCCACGTGTCTCTCACCGTGTCTCTTACCGTGTCTCTTACCGTGTCTCCCCGTGTCTCCCCCGTGTCTCCCCCGTGTCTCCCCCCCCCCCCCCCCGTGTCTCCCCCCCCCCCCGTGTCTCCCCCGTGTCTCCCCTTTGGCTCCCCGTGTCTCCTCCCCGTGTCTCCCCGTGTCTCCCCCGTGTCTCCCCCGTGTCTCCCCCCCCCCCCGTGTCTCCTCCCCGTGTCTCCCCGTGTCTCCCCTGTGTCTCCCCGTGTCTCCCCGTGTCTCCCACCCCCTCCCCCGTGTCTCCCCTCCCCCCGTGTCTCCCCCCCCCCCCCCCCCGTGTCGTAGCCGTGCAGGCGGTGAGGCGCTGCCCATGAGCAGTGACTCTGAGGGGGAGGGGCCTCCCGGGGGGGAGGGGCCTCGCGGGGGGGAGGGGCCTCCCGGGGGGGAGGGGCCTCGCGGGGGGAAGAGTGGGGGAGGGCGCCCCTCCCCCTTCCTCCGCGGAGGAGGGGAGGGGCTGAGGGGGACCGGAGGGGAGGGGCTAGGGGGGCTGTTCAACTTAGCCGCCAGTGAGTAACAACAACACTCACCACTACTCACCACTACTCACTCACCACTACTCACCACACACTCACCACTACTCACCACTCACTCACCACTACTCACCACCACTCACCACTACTCACCACACACTCACCACTACTCACCACTCACTCACCACTACTCACCACTACTCACCACTCACTCACCACTACTCACCACTACTCACCACTCACTCACCACTACTCACCACTACTCACCACTCACTCACTACTCACCACACACTCACCACTACTCACCACTCACTACTCACCACTAACTACTCACCACTACTCACTACCACTCACCACTCACTCACTACTACTCACCACTACTCACCACTCACTCACCACTACTCACCACTACTCACTACCACTCACCACTACTCACCACTCACTCACCACTACTCACCACTACTCACCACTCACCACTCACTCACCACTACTCACCACACACTCACCACTACTCACCACTACTCACCACTACTCACCACACACCACTACTCACCACTCACTCACCACTCACTACTCACCACTAACTACTCACCACTACTCACCACTCACTCACCACTACTCACCACTCACTCACCACTACTCACCACTACTCACCACACACCACTACTCACCACTCACTCACCACTACTCACCACTACTCACCACACACTCACCACTACTCACCACTCACTCACCACTACTCACCACACACTCACCACTACTCACCACTCACTCACCACTACTCACCACTACTCACCACTCACCACACACTCACCACTACTCACCACTACTCACCACTTACAACTCACTACTCACTCACCACTCACTCACCACTCACCACACACTCACCACTCACTACTCACCACTACTCACCACTACTCACTACCACTCACCACTACTCACCACTACTCACCACTACTCACCACTCACTCACTCACCACACACTCACCACTACTCACCACTACTCACCACTACTCACTACCACTCACCACTACTCACCACTACTCACTACTCACTCACCACTCACTCACCACTACTCACCACTACTCACTACCACTCACCACTACTCACCACTACTCACCACTCACTACTCACTCACCACTCACTCACCACTACCACCACTACTCACTACCACTCACCACTACTCACCACTACTCACCACTCACTCACCACTACTCACCACACACTCACCACTACTCACTACTCACTCACCACTTACTACTCACTCACCACTCACTCACCACTCACTACTCACTCACCACTCACTCACCACTCACTACTCACTCACCACTCACTCACCACTCACCACACACTCACCACACACTCACCACTCACTCACCACTACTCACCACTACTCACCACTACTCACTACCACTCACCACTACTCACCACTACTCACCACTCACTCACCACACACTCACCACTCACTCACCACTCACCACTACTCACCACTACTCACCACTACTCACTCATCACTTACTACTCACCACTACTCACCACTACTCACCACTCACTCACCACACACTCACCACTCACTCACCACTCACCACTACTCACCACTACTCACTCACCACTTACTACTCACCACTCACTCACCACTACTCACCACACACTCACCACTACTCACCACTACTCACTCACCACTTACTACTCACCACTTACTCACTACTCACTCACCACACACTCACCACTCACTCACCACTCACTCACCACTACTCACCACTACTCACCACTTACTACTCACCACTTACTACTCACCACTACTCACCACTCACTCACCACTACTCACCACTCACTCACCACTACTCACCACTACTCACCACTCACTCACCACTACTTACCACTCACTCACCACTCACCACTACTCACCACTACTCACCACTACTCACCACTTACTACTCACTCACCACTTACTACTCACCACTTACTCACTACTCACTCACCACTCACCACTACTCACCACTTACTACTCACCACTACTCACCACTACTCACCACTTACTACTCACTCACCACTCACTCACCACTCACTACTCACTCACCACTCACTCACCACTCACTACTCACTCACCACTCACTCACCACTCACCACACACTCACCACTCACTCACTCACCACTACTCACTCACCACAACTCACCACTACTCACCACTACTCACTACCACTCACCACTACTCACCACTACTCACCACTCACTCACCACACACTCACCACTCACTCACCGCTCACCACTACTCACCACTACTCACTCATCACTTACTACTCACCACTACTCACCACTACTCACCACTCACTCACCACACACTCACCACTCACCACTACTCACCACTACTCACCACTACTCACTCACCACTTACTACTCACCACTACTCACCACTCACTCACCACTACTCACCACACACTCACCACTACACACCACTACTCACTCACCACTTACTACTCACCACTTACTCACTACTCACTCACCACACACTCACCACTCACTCACCACTCACTCACCACTACTCACCACTACTCACCACTTACTACTCACCACTTACTACTCACCACTACTCACCACTCACTCACCACTACTCACCACTCACTCACCACTCACTCACCACTACTCACCACTACTCACCACTCACTCACCACTACTTACCACTCACTCACCACTACTCACCACTACTCACCACTTACTACTCACTCACCACTTACTACTCACCACTTACTCACTACTCACTCACCACTCACCACTACTCACCACTTACTACTCACCACTACTCACCACTACTCACCACTTACTCACCACTACTCACCACACACTCACCACTCACTCACCACTCACCACTTACTACTCACCACTTACTACTCACTCACCACTTACTACTCACCACACACTCACCACTCACTCACCACTTACTACTCACCACTTACTCACCACTCACCACTACTCACCACTACTCACCACTACTCACCACACACTCACCACTCACTCACCACTCACCACACACTACTCACCACACACTCACCACTACTCACCACTACTCACCACACACTCACCACTCACTACTCACCACTCACTACTCACCACTCACTCACCACTTACTACTCACTCACCACTCACTCACTACTCACCACTCACTCACTACTCACTCACCACACACTACTCACCACTCACTCACCACTCACTACACACTACTCACTCACCACTCACTACACACTACTCACTCACCACCACTCACCACTCACTCACCACTTACTACTCACCACTTACTACTCACCACTCACTACTCACCACTCACCACTACTCACCACACACTCACCACTTACTACTCACCACTCACTACTCACTCATCACTTACTACTCACCACACACTCACCACTCACTCACCACTCACCACTACTCACCACTCACTACTCACTCACCACTCACTACTCACCACTCACCACTACTCACCACTTACAACTCATCACTCACCACTCACTACTCACTCACCACACACTCACCACTTACTACTCACCACTCACTACTTACTACTCACCACTCACCACTTACTACACTCACCACTTACTACTCACTACTTACTACACACTCACCACTTACTCACCACCTCACTCACCACTTACTACTCACTCACCACTCACTCACCACTCACTCACCACTCACTCAATCACCACTCACTCACTCACTGAGCACTCACTCACTTCACCACTCACTCACCACTTACTCACTCACCACTCACCACACACTCACCACTCACTCACCACTCACTCACTCACCACTCACTCGCCACTCACCACTCACTCACTCACCACTCACCACTCACTCGCCACTCACCACTCACTCACTTCACCACTCACTCACCACTCACTCAACCACTCACCACACACTCACCACTCACCACTCACTCACCACTCACTCACTCACCACTCACCACTCACTCGCCACTCACCACTCACTCACTCACCACTCACTCGCCACTCACTCACCACTCACTCGCCACTCACTCACTACTCAATCACCACTCACCACTCACTCACCACTCACTCACCACTCGCTACTCACTCACCACTCACCTGTACACTCACCCCTCACCTGTACGCTCACTCACCACTCACCTATACACTCACTCACCTGTACACTTAATCACCTGTACACTCACCACTCACCTGTACACTCACCACTCACCTGTAAACACGCTCACCTGTACACTCACCTGTACACTCACCACTCACCTGTACACTCACCACTCACCTGTACACTCACCTGTACACTCACAACTCACCTGTAAACACATTCACCTGTACACTCAACTGTACACTCACTCACCTGTACCCTCACCTACACACTCACTTACCTGTACACTCACCTGTACATTCACCTGTACAGTCACTCACCAGCACCCTCACCTGTACACTCACCTGTACACTCACTCACCTGTACACTAACTCACCACTCACCTGTACGCTCACTCACCTGTACACTCACGTACACACTCACTCACCTGTACACTCACCTATACACTCACCTGTACACTCACTCACCTGTACACTCACTCACCTGTACGCTCACTCAACTGTACACTCACCTGTACACTTACCTGTACACTCACTCACCTGTACACTCACCTGTACACTCACTCACCTGTACACTCAACGGTACACTCACTCACCTGTACACTCACTCACCACTCACCTGTATGCTCACTCACCTGTACACTCACCTGTTCAGTCACCTGTACACTCACCTGTACACTCACTCACCTGTACACTCACTCACCACTCACCTGTATGCTCACTCACCTGTATGCTCACTCATCTGTACACTCACTCACCTGTACACTCACCTGTACGCTCACTCACCTGTACACTCACCTGTTCACTCACCTGTACACTCACCTGTACACTCACTCACCACTCACCTGTATGCTCACTCACCTGTATGCTCACTCACCTGTATGCTCACTCACCTGTACACTCACTCACCTGTACACTCACCTGTACGCTCACTCACCTGTAAACTCACCTGTACACTCACTCAGCTGTACACTCACCTGTACACTCACCTGTTCACTCACCTGTACACTCACCTGTACACTCACTCACCTGTACACTCACCTGTATGCTCACTCACCACTCACCTGTATGCTCACTCACCTGTACACTCACTCACCTGTACACTCACTCACCAGCACACTCACCTGTACGCTCACTCACCTGTACACTCACCTATACACTCACCTGTACACTCACTCACCTGTACACTCACTCACCTGTACGCTCACTCACCTGTACACTCACTCACCTGTACACTCACTCACCTGTACACTCACTCACCTGTACACTCACCTGTACACTCACCTGTACGCTCACTCACCACTCACCTGTATGCTCACTCACCTGTACACTCACTCACCTGTACACTCACTCACCTGTACACTCACCTGTACGCTCACTCACCTGTACACTCACCTATACACTCACCTACCTGTACACTCACTCACCTGTACGCTCACTCACCTGTACACTCACCTGTACACTCACCTGTACGCTCACTCACCACTCACCTGTACACTCACTCACCTGTACACTCACTCACCTGTACACTCACCTGTACACTCACCTGTAGACTCACTCACCTGTACACTCACCTGTACACTCACTCACCTGTACACTCACCTGTACACTCACTCACCTGTACACTCACTCACCTGTACACACACTCACCTGTACGCTCACCTGTACGCTCACTCACCTGTACACTCCCCTGTACACTCACTCACCTGTACACTCATTCACCTGTACACTCACCTGTATGCTCACTCACCACTCACCTGTACACTCATTCACCTGTACACTCACCTGTACGCTCACTCACCTGTACACTCACCTGTTCACTCACCTGTACACTCACCTGTACACTCACCTGTACACTCACTCACCTGTACACTCACCTGTACACTCACTCACCACTCACCTGTATGCTCACTCACCTGTATGCTCACTCACCTGTACACTCACTCACCTGTTCACTCACCTGTACACTCACCTGTACACTCACCTGTTCACTCACCTGTACACTCACCTGTACACTCACTCACCTGGACACTCACTCACCTGTACACTCACCTGTATGCTCACTCACCTGTACACTCACCTGTACACTCACCTGTACACTCACTCACCTGTACACTCACTCACCTGTACACTCACCTGTACACTCACTCACCTGTACACTCACCTGTACACTCACTCACCTGTACACTCACCTGTACACTCACTCACCTGTACACTCACCTGTACACTCACCTGTACACTCACTCACCTGTACACTCACCTGTACACTCACTCACCTGTACACTCACTCACCTGTACACTCACTCACCTGTACACTCACCTGTACGCTCACTCACCTGTACACTCACCTGTTCACTCACCTGTACACTCACCTGTACACTCACCTGTACACTCACTCACCTGTACACTCACCTGTACACTCACTCACCACTCACCTGTATGCTCACTCACCTGTATGCTCACTCACCTGTACACTCACTCACCTGTTCACTCACCTGTACACTCACCTGTACACTCACCTGTTCACTCACCTGTACACTCACCTGTACACTCACTCACCTGGACACTCACTCACCTGTACACTCACATGTACGCTCACTCACCTGTACACTCACCTGTACACTCACCTGTACACTCACTCACCTGTACACTCACTCACCTGTACACTCACCTGTACACTCACTCACCTGTACACTCACCTGTACACTCACTCACCTGTACACTCACCTGTACACTCACTCACCTGTACACTCACCTGTACACTCACCTGTACACTCACTCACCTGTACACTCACCTGTACACTCACTCACCTGTACACTCACTCACCTGTACACTCACTCACCTGTACACTCACCTGTACACTCACTCACCTGTACACTCAACGGTACACTCACTCACCTGTACACTCACTCACCACTCACCTGTATGCTCACTCACCTGTACACTCACCTGTTCAGTCACCTGTACACTCACCTGTACACTCACTCACCTGTACACTCACTCACCACTCACCTGTATGCTCACTCATCTGTACACTCACTCACCTGTACACTCACCTGTACGCTCACTCACCTGTACACTCACCTGTTCACTCACCTGTACACTCACCTGTACACTCACTCACCACTCACCTGTATGCTCACTCACCTGTATGCTCATTCACCTGTATGCTCACTCACCTGTATGCTCACTCACCTGTACACTCACCTGTACGCTCACTCACCTGTACACTCACCTGTACACTCACTCAGCTGTACACTCACCTGTACACTCACCTGTTCACTCACCTGTACACTCACCTGTACACTCACTCACCTGTACACTCACCTGTATGCTCACTCACCACTCACCTGTATGCTCACTCACCTGTACACTCACTCACCTGTACACTCACCTGTACGCTCACTCACCTGTACACTCACCTGTACACTCACTCAGCTGTACACTCACCTGTACACTCACCTGTTCACTCACCTGTACACTCACCTGTACACTCACTCACCTGTACACTCACCTGTATGCTCACTCACCACTCACCTGTATGCTCACTCACCTGTACACTCACTCACCTGTACACTCACTCACCTGTACACTCACTCACCAGCACACTCACCTGTACGCTCACTCACCTGTACACTCACCTGTACACTCACTCACCTGTACACTCACTCACCTGTACACTCACTCACCTGTACACTCACTCACCTGTACACTCACCTGTACACTCACCTGTACGCTCACTCACCACTCACCTGTATGCTCACTCACCTGTACACTCACTCACCTGTACACTCACTCACCTGTACACTCACCTGTACGCTCACTCACCTGTACACTCACCTATACACTCACCTACCTGTACACTCACTCACCTGTACGCTCACTCACCTGTACACTCACCTGTACACTCACCTGTACGCTCACTCACCACTCACCTGTACACTCACTCACCTGTACACTCACTCACCTGTACACTCACTCACCTGTACACTCACCTGTACACTCACCTGTAGACTCACTCACCTCTACACTCACCTGTACACTCACTCACCTGTACACTCACTCACCTGTACACTCACCTGTACGCTCACTCACCTGTACACTCACTCACCTGTACACTCACTCACCTGTACACTCACCTGTACGCTCACTCACCTGTACACTCCCCTGTACACTCACTCACCTGTACACTCATTCACCTGTACACTCACCTGTATGCTCACTCACCACTCACCTGTACACTCATTCACCTGTACACTCACCTGTTCACTCACCTGTACACTCACCTGTACACTCACCTGTACACTCACTCACCTGTACACTCACCTGTACACTCACTCACCACTCACCTGTATGCTCACTCACCTGTATGCTCACTCACCTGTATGCTCACTCACCTGTACACTCACTCACCTGTACACTCACCTGTTCACTCACCTGTACGCTCACTCACCACTCACCTGTATGCTCACTCACCTGTACACTCACTCACCTGTACACTCACTCACCTGTACACTCACCTGTACGCTCACTCACCTGTACACTCACCTATACACTCACCTACCTGTACACTCACTCACCTGTACGCTCACTCACCTGTACACTCACCTGTACACTCACCTGTACGCTCACTCACCACTCACCTGTACACTCACTCACCTGTACACTCACTCACCTGTACACTCACTCACCTGTACACTCACCTGTACACTCACCTGTAGACTCACTCACCTGTACACTCACCTGTACACTCACTCACCTGTACACTCACTCACCTGTACACTCACCTGTACGCTCACTCACCTGTACACTCACCTGTACACTCACTCACCTGTACACTCACTCACCTGTACACTCACCTGTACGCTCACTCACCTGTACACTCCCCTGTACACTCACTCACCTGTACACTCATTCACCTGTACACTCACCTGTATGCTCACTCACCACTCACCTGTACACTCATTCACCTGTACACTCACCTGTTCACTCACCTGTACACTCACCTGTACACTCACTCACCTGTACACTCACCTGTACACTCACTCACCACTCACCTGTATGCTCACTCACCTGTATGCTCACTCACCTGTACACTCACTCACCTGTACACTCACCTGTTCACTCACCTGTACACTCACCTGTACACTCACCTGTTCACTCACCTGTACACTCACCTGTACACTCACCTGTACACTCACTCACCTGTACACTCACCTGTACACTCACTCACCTGTACACTCACTCACCTGTACACTCACCTGTACGCTCACTCACCTGTACACTCCCCTGTACACTCACTCACCTGTACACTCATTCACCTGTGCACTCACCTGTATGCTCACTCACCACTCACCTGTACACTCATTCACCTGTACACTCACCTGTTCACTCACCTGTACACTCACCTGTACACTCACCTGTACACTCACCTGTACACTCACTCACCTGTACACTCACCTGTACACTCACTCACCACTCACCTGTATGCTCACTCACCTGTATGCTCACTCACCTGTACACTCACTCACCTGTACACTCACTCACCTGTACACTCACCTGTTCACTCACCTGTACACTCACCTGTACACTCACTCACCTGTACACTCACCTGTACACTCACTCACCACTCACCTGTATGCTCACTCACCTGTATGCTCACTCACCTGTACACTCACTCACCTGTACACTCACTCACCTGTACACTCACCTGTTCACTCACCTGTACACTCACCTGTACACTCACCTGTTCACTCACCTGTACACTCACCTGTACACTCACTCACCTGTACACTCACTCACCTGTACACTCACCTTTACACTCACCTGTACACTCACTCCCCCCCCCCCCGTGCCCCCCCCCCCCCGTGTCCCCCCCCCCCCCGTGCCCCCCCCCAGACACCCTCTACAAAGGTCCCAGCAGCAGCTTCAGCCTCTCCAACCTCGCTCTGGCAGGGCGGCCTGGCAGAGACAAAGCCTCCCCCTTTCCTAGCCTACGCGGTAGCCACTACACTCACCGCTACGCTCACCACTCACCACTACACTCACCACTACACTCACCACTACACTCACCACTACACTCACCACTACACTCACCACTACACTCACCACTCACCACTACTACACCACTACACTCACCACTACACTCACCACTACTACACCACTACTACACTCACCACTACACTCACCACTCACCACTACACTCACCACTACACTCACCACTACACTCACCACTACACTCACCACTCACCACTACGCTCACCACTACGCTCACCACTACGCTCACCACTACACTCACCACTACACTCACCACTACACTCACCACTACTACACCACTACACTCACCACTACTACACCACTACGCTCACCACTACGCTCACCACTACGCTCACCGCTCACCACTACGCTCACCGCTCACCACTACAGTCACCACTATGCTCACCACTACACTCACCACTCACCACTACACTCACCACTACAGTCACCACTACACTCACCACTACTACACCACTACACTCACCACTACACTCACCACTACACTCACCACTCACCACTACACTCACCACTACACTCACCACTACACTCACCACTCACCACTACACTCACCACTACACTCACCGCTCACCACTTTACTCACCACTACACTCACCACTACACTCACCACTACACTCACCGCTCACCACTACACTCACCACTACACTCACCACTACACTCACCACTACACTCACCACTCACCACTACACTCACCACTACACTCACCACTACACTCACCACTTTACTCACCACTACGCTCACCACTACGCTCACCACTACACTCACCACTACAGTCACCACTACGCTCACCACCACTCTCACCACTGCACTCACCACTCACCACTACACTCACCACTACACTCACCACTACACTCACCACTCACCACTTTACTCACCACTACACTCACCACTACACTCACCACTACACTCACCGCTACGCTCACCACTCACCACTTTACTCACCACTACACTCACCACTACTACACCACTACACTCACCACTACACTCACCACTACACTCACCACTCACCACTACACTCACCACTACACTCACCACTCACCACTACACTCACCACTACTACACCACTACACTCACCACTACACTCACTACTACACTCACCACTCACCACTACACTCACCACTACACTCACCACTACTACACCACTACACTCACCACTACACTCACCACTACTACACCACTACACTCACCACTACACTCACCACTACACTCACCGCTCACCACTACACTCACCACTACACTCACCACTATGCTCACCACTACGCTCACCACTACGCTCACCACTACACTCACCACTCACCACTACACTCACCACTACGCTCACCGCTCACCACTACACTCACCACTACACTCACCACTACACTCACCACTCACCACTTTACTCACCACTACACTCACCACTACACTCACCACTACGCTCACCACTCACCACTTTACTCACCACTACACTCACCACTACTACACCACTACACTCACCACTACACTCACCACTACACTCACCACTCACCACTACACTCACCACTACACTCACCACTCACCACTACACTCACCACTACACTCACCACTACACTCACCACTACTACACCACTACACTCACCACTACACTCACCACTACACTCACCGCTCACCACTACACTCACCACTACACTCACCACTACACTCACCACTACTACACCACTACACTCACCACTACACTCACTACTACACTCACCACTCACCACTACACTCACCACTACACTCACCACTCACCACTACACTCACCGCTACACTCACCACTACACTCACCACTACTACACCACTACACTCACCACTACACTCACCACTACTACACCACTACACTCACCACTACACTCACCACTACACTCACCGCTCACCACTACACTCACCACTACACTCACCACTATGCTCACCACTACGCTCACCACTACACTCACCACTCACCACTACACTCACCACTACGCTCACCGCTCACCACTACACTCACCACTACACTCACCACTACACTCACCACTACACTCACCACTACACTCACTAGTGAGTGTAGTGGTGAGTGTAGTGGTGTAGTAGTGGTAGTGGTGGCGGTGGTGGGGATGAATGTGGTGGTGGTTGTAGTGTTTGTGGTTGATGATGGTTGTGGAGGTTGGTGTGGTGGTTTTGGTGGTGGATGATGGTGGATTTGGTGGTTGTAGTTGTGGTGGTTGATGTTGATGGTGGTGGTTGATGGTGGTGGTGGTGATTGATGGTGGTGGTGGTTGATGGTGGTGGTGGTTGATGGTGGTGGTGGTGGATGTGGTTGTAGTTGTGGTGGTTGTAGTTGTGGTTGTAGTTGTGGTGGTTGTGGTGGTGGTGGTTGTAGTGGTGGTGGTGGTGGTTGTTGTGGTGGTTGTAGTTGTGGTGGTTGTAGTGGTGGTTGTGGTGGTTGTAGTGGTGGTTGTAGTTGTAGTTGTGGTTGTAGTGGTGGTTGTAGTTGTGGTTGTAGTTGTGGTTGTAGTGGTGGTTGTAGTGGTGGTTGTAGTGGTGGTTGTGGTGGTTGTAGTGGTGGTTGTGGTGGTTGTAGTGGTGGTTGTGGTGGTTGTAGTGGTGGTTGTGGTGGTTGTAGTGGTGGTTGTGGTGATTGTAGTGGTGGTTGTGGTGGTTGTATTGGTGGTTGTGGTTGTTGTTGTGGTTACAGGAAGTAAGCGTGCTCTGGTCGACCAGAAGCCGTCTGTGATCCGGCACAGCTCCACCGTCAAGAGAGAGTCCACCACTACCTCCACCTCATCATCATCATCCAAAACGTCGTCCAGGTGGGCTCGCCACTCGCCCTCTCGCTCACTCGCTCACTCACTCACTCTCTCACTCACTCACTCACTCTCTCACTCACCCATTCACTCACTCGCTCACTCACTCACTCACCCACCCACTCACCCACTCACTCACTCACTCACCCACTCGCTCACCCACTCACTCACTCATCCACTCGCTCACTCACTCACTCACCCACTCACTCACTCACTCACCCACTCACCCACTCACCCACTCACCCACTCACTCATCCACTCGCTCGCTCACTCACCCACTCGCTCACTCACTCACCCACTCACCCACTCACTCATCCACTCACTCACCCACTCGCTCACTCCCTCGCTCACTCACTCACTCACCACTCACTCTGCGCATGTCTCTCTTTCCATGCGTGTCTCTGTGTCTCTCTCTCTCTGCGTGTCCCCGTGTCTCTCCGTGTCTCTCCGTGTCTCTCTGTGTCTCTCCGTGTCTCTCTGTGTCTCTGTGTCTCTCTGTGTCTCTCTGTGTCTCTCCGTGTCTCTCCGTGTCTCTCTGTGTCTCTCCGTGTCTCTCTGTGTCTCTCTGTGTCTCTCCGTGTATCTCTGTGTCTCTCCGTTTCTCTCTGTGTCTCTCCGTGTCTCTCTGTGTCTCTCCGTGTCTCTACGTGTCTCTCCGTGTCTCTCTGTGTCTCTCTCTGTGTCTCCCCACGTGTCTCCGTGAGTCAGCGAGGGCCAGCAGGTGGTGAAGGAGGCGCTAGCGGGCGTGCTGGAGGGCCAGGGCGTGTCTCTCTGTGACCCAGCGTGTCTCTCTGTGTCTCTCTGTGTCTCCCCACGTGTCTCTCTGTGTCAGCGAGGGCCAGCAGGTGGTGAAGGAGGCGCTAGCGGGCGTGCTGGAGGGCCAGGGTGTGTCTCTCTGTGACCCAGCGTGTCTCTCTGTGTCTCTCTGTGACCCAGCGTGTCTCTCTGTGTCTCTCTGTGTCTCTCTGTGTCTCTCTGTGTCTCTCCGTGACCCCGTGTCTCTCTCTGTGTCTCCGTGAGTCAGCGAGGGCCAGCAGGTGGTGAAGGAGGCGCTAGCGGGCGTGCTGGAGGGCCAGGGCGTGTCTCTCTGTGACCCAGCGTGTCTCTCTGTGTCTCTCTGTGACCCAGCGTGTCTCTCTGTGTCTCTCTGTGTCTCTCTGTGTCTCTCTCTGTGTCTCTCTCTGTGTCTCTCTGTGTCTCTCTCTGTGTCTCTCTGTGTCTCTCTCTGTGTCTCTCTCTGTGTCTCTCTGTGTCTCTCTGTGTCTCTCCGTGACCCCGTGTCTCTCCGTGTCTCTCTGTGTCTCTCTGTGTCTCTCTGTGTCTCTCTCTGTGTCTCCCCACGTGTCTCTCTGTGTGAGTCAGCGAGGGCCAGCAGGTGGTGAAGGAGGTGCTAGCGGGCGTGCTGGAGGGCCAGGGCGTGTCTCTCTGTGTCTCTCTGTGTCTCTCTGTGTCTCTCTGTGTGTCTCTGTGTCTCTCTGTGTCTCTCTGTGTCTCTCCGTGTCTCTCTGTGTCTCTCTGTGTCTCTCTGTGTCTCTCTGTGTCTCTCTGTGTCTCTCTGTGTCTCTCCGTGTCTCTCTGTGTCTCTCTGTCTCTCTCTGTCTCTCTCTGTGTCTCTCTGTCTCTCTGTGTCTCTCTGTGTCTCTCTGTGTGACCCCGTGTCTCTCTCTCCGTGTCTCTCTGTGTCAGCGAGGGCCAGCAGGTGGTGAAGGAGGCGCTAGCGGGCGTGCTGGAGGGCCAGGGCGTGTCTCTCTGTGTCTCTCTGTGTCTCTCTCTGTGTCTCTCTGTGTCTCTCTGTGTCTCTCTGTGTCTCTCCGTGTGACCCCGTGTCTCTCTGTGTCTCTCTGTGTCTCTCTGTGTGAGTCAGCGAGGGCCAGCAGGTGGTGAAGGAAGCGCTAGCAGGCGTGCTGGAGGGCCAGGGCGTGTCTCTCTGTGTCTCTCTGTGTCTCTCCGTGTGACCCCGTGTCTCTCTGTGTCTCTCTGTGTCTCTCTCCGTGTGACCCCGTGTCTCTCTCCGTGTCTCTCTGTGTCAGCGAGGGCCAGCAGGTGGTGAAGGAAGCGCTAGCAGGCGTGCTGGAGGGCCAGGGCGTGTCTCTCTGTGTCTCTCTGTGTCTCTCTGTGTGACCCCGTGTCTCTCCGTGTCTCTCTCTCCGTGTCTCCGTGAGTCAGCGAGGGCCAGCAGGTGGTGAAGGAAGCGCTAGCGGGCGTGCTGGAGGGCCAGGGCGTGTCTCTCTGTGTCTCTCTGTGTCTCTCTGTGTCTCTCTCTGTGTCTCTCTGTGTCTGTGTGAGTCAGCGAGGGCCAGCAGGTGGTGAAGGAAGCGCTAGCGGGCGTGCTGGAGGGCCAGGGCGTGGGCTGGTTCACCCTCAAGCGCTGTCGACGGCTCCTTGACTCCGAGCCCCTGCGCCTGCTGCTGCTGGGCAAGATGAGCAGGATGGGGCCTAGTGGAGAGGCCTCATCCACTGTGCCTGACTCGGTGAGCGGGGGGTGGGGGGAGGGTGGGGGGAGGGTGGGGGGAGGGTGGGGGTGGAGTGTGGGGGTGGAGGGTGGGGGGAGTGTGGGGGGAGAGGGTGGGGGTGGAGTTACTATCGCCCTGTGTCTCCCTGTGTCTCCCTGTGTCTCTGTGTGTCTCCTTGTGTCTCATTGTGTCTCTGTGTGTCTCTGTGTCTCCCTGTGTCTCCCTGTGTCTCTGTGTCTCTGTTTGTCTCCCTGTGTCTCCCTGTGTCTCCGTGTGTCTCTCTTGTGTCTCCCTGTGTCTCCATGTGTCTCCGTGTGTCTCCCTGTCTCCCTGTGTGTCTCCCTGTGTCTCCAGGAGGTGACCAGGAAGGTGTACAAGGGCATGCTGGACCTCTTGAAGTGCTGTGTCTCTATGTGTCTGTGTCTCTGTGTGTCTCCCTGTGTCTCTGTGTGTCTCCCTGTGTCTCCGTGTGTCTCCCTGTGTCTCCAGGAGGTGACCAGGAAGGTGTACAAGGGCATGCTGGACCTCTTGAAGTGCTGTGTCTCCCTGTGTCTCCCTGTGTGTCTCTGTGTCTCCGTGTGTCTCCAGGAGGTGACCAGGAAGGTGTACAAGGGCATGCTGGACCTCTTGAAGTGCTGTGTCTCTGTGTCTCCCTGTGTCTCCGTGTGTCTCCGTGTGTCTCCGTGTGTCTCCCTGTCTCCCTGTGTGTCTCTCTCTGTCTCCAGGAGGTGACTAGGAAGGTGTATAAGGGCATGCTGGACCTCTTGAAGTGTTGTGTCTCTGTGTGTCTCTATGTCTCCGTGTGTCTCCATGTGTCTCCGTGTGTCTCCCTGTCTCCCTGTGTGTCTCTCTCTGTCTCCAGGAGGTGACCAGGAAGGTGTACAAGGGCATGCTGGACCTCTTGAAGTGTTGTGTCTCTGTGTCTCCCTGTGTCTCTGTGTGTCTCCGTGTGTCTCCCTGTGTCTCCAGGAGGTGACCAGGAAGGTGTACAAGGGCATGCTGGACCTCTTGAAGTGCTGTGTCTCTATGTGTCTGTGTCTCTGTGTGTCTCCGTGTGTCTCCGTGTGTCTCCGTGTGTCTCCAGGAGGTGACCAGGAAGGTGTACAAGGGCATGCTGGACCTCTTGAAGTGCTGTGTCTCTATGTGTCTGTGTCTCTGTGTGTCTCCGTGTGTCTCCGTGTGTCTCCGTGTGTCTCCAGGAGGTGACCAGGAAGGTGTACAAGGGCATGCTGGACCTCTTGAAGTGCTGTGTCTCTATGTGTCTGTGTCTCTGTGTGTCTCCGTGTGTCTCCGTGTGTCTCCCTGTGTCTCCAGGAGGTGACCAGGAAGGTGTACAAGGGCATGCTGGACCTCTTGAAGTGCTGTGTCTCTATGTGTCTGTGTCTCTGTGTGTCTCCGTGTGTCTCCGTGTGTCTCCGTGTGTCTCCAGGAGGTGACCAGGAAGGTGTACAAGGGCATGCTGGACCTCTTGAAGTGCTGTGTCTCTATGTGTCTGTGTCTCTGTGTGTCTCCGTGTGTCTCCGTGTGTCTCCGTGTGTCTCCAGGAGGTGACCAGGAAGGTGTACAAGGGCATGCTGGACCTCTTGAAGTGCTGTGTCTCTATGTGTCTGTGTCTCCCTGTGTCTCCGTGTGTCTCCGTGTGTCTCCGTGTGTCTCCCTGTGTCTCCAGGAGGTGACCAGGAAGGTGTACAAGGGCATGCTGGACCTCTTGAAGTGCTGTGTCTCCCTGTGTCTCCCTGTGTGTCTCCGTGTGTCTCCGTGTGTCTCCGTGTGTCTCCGTGTGTCTCCAGGAGGTGACCAGGAAGGTGTACAAGGGCATGCTGGACCTCTTGAAGTGCTGTGTCTCTATGTGTCTGTGTCTCCCTGTGTCTCCGTGTGTCTCCGTGTGTCTCCGTGTGTCTCCGTGTGTCTCCAGGAGGTGACCAGGAAGGTGTACAAGGGCATGCTGGACCTCTTGAAGTGCTGTGTCTCTATGTGTCTGTGTCTCTGTGTGTCTCCGTGTGTCTCCGTGTGTCTCCGTGTGTCTCCAGGAGGTGACCAGGAAGGTGTACAAGGGCATGCTGGACCTCTTGAAGTGCTGTGTCTCTATGTGTCTGTGTCTCTGTGTGTCTCCGTGTGTCTCCGTGTGTCTCCGTGTGTCTCCAGGAGGTGACCAGGAAGGTGTACAAGGGCATGCTGGACCTCTTGAAGTGCTGTCTCTCTGTGTGTCTCTGTGTGTCTCTGTGTCTCCGTGTGTCTCCGTGTGTCTCCGTGTGTCTCCCTGTGTCTCCAGGAGGTGACCAGGAAGGTGTACAAGGGCATGCTGGACCTCTTGAAGTGCTGTCTCTCTGTGTGTCTCTGTGTGTCTCCGTGTGTCTCCATGTGTCTCCGTGTGTCTCCGTGTGTCTCCGTGTGTCTCCGTGTGTCTCCAGGAGGTGACCAGGAAGGTGTACAAGGGCATGCTGGACCTCTTGAAGTGCTGTCTCTCTGTGTGTCTCTGTGTGTCTCTGTGTGTCTCCGTGTGTCTCCGTGTGTCTCCGTGTGTCTCCGTGTGTCTCCGTGTGTCTCCGTGTGTCTCCAGGAGGTGACCAGGAAGGTGTACAAGGGCATGCTGGACCTCTTGAAGTGCTGTGTCTCTATGTGTCTGTGTGTCTTGTGTGTCTCCGTGTGTCTCCGTGTGTCTCCCTGTGTCTCCAGGAGGTGACCAGGAAGGTGTACAAGGGCATGCTGGACCTCTTGAAGTGTTGTGTCTCTGTGTGTCTCTGTGTCTCCGTGTGTCTCCATGTGTCTCCGTGTGTCTCCCTGTCTCCCTGTGTGTCTCCGTGTGTCTCCGTGTGTCTCCCTGTGTCTCCAGGAGGTGACCAGGAAGGTGTACAAGGGCATGCTGGACCTCTTGAAGTGCTGTGTCTCTATGTGTCTGTGTCTCTGTGTGTCTCCGTGTGTCTCCGTGTGTCTCCGTGTGTCTCCAGGAGGTGACCAGGAAGGTGTACAAGGGCATGCTGGACCTCTTGAAGTGCTGTGTCTCTATGTGTCTGTGTCTCTGTGTGTCTCCGTGTGTCTCCGTGTGTCTCCCTGTGTCTCCAGGAGGTGACCAGGAAGGTGTACAAGGGCATGCTGGACCTCTTGAAGTGCTGTGTCTCTATGTGTCTGTGTCTCCCTGTGTCTCCGTGTGTCTCCGTGTGTCTCCGTGTGTCTCCCTGTGTCTCCAGGAGGTGACCAGGAAGGTGTACAAGGGCATGCTGGACCTCTTGAAGTGCTGTGTCTCCCTGTGTCTCCCTGTGTGTCTCCGTGTGTCTCCGTGTGTCTCCGTGTGTCTCCGTGTGTCTCCAGGAGGTGACCAGGAAGGTGTACAAGGGCATGCTGGACCTCTTGAAGTGCTGTGTCTCTATGTGTCTGTGTCTCCCTGTGTCTCCGTGTGTCTCCGTGTGTCTCCGTGTGTCTCCCTGTGTCTCCAGGAGGTGACCAGGAAGGTGTACAAGGGCATGCTGGACCTCTTGAAGTGCTGTGTCTCTATGTGTCTGTGTCTCTGTGTGTCTCCGTGTGTCTCCGTGTGTCTCCGTGTGTCTCCAGGAGGTGACCAGGAAGGTGTACAAGGGCATGCTGGACCTCTTGAAGTGCTGTCTCCCTGTGTCTCCCTGTGTGTCTCCGTGTGTCTCCGTGTGTCTCCGTGTGTCTCCAGGAGGTGACCAGGAAGGTGTACAAGGGCATGCTGGACCTCTTGAAGTGCTGTCTCCCTGTGTCTCTGTGTGTCTCCGTGTGTCTCCGTGTGTCTCTGTGTGTCTCCCTGTGTCTCCAGGAGGTGACCAGGAAGGTGTACAAGGGCATGCTGGACCTCTTGAAGTGCTGTGTCTCTGGCCTGGAGAGTTCTTATGCCAGCTCAGGAGTTGGAGGAATGTCCAGCGTCTTCACCCTGCTGGAGATCGCCTACACACACTACTACAGCAAGGGTATTGAGTACTCAGAGTACTCACAGAGTACTCAGAGTACTCTGTGAGTACTCTGAGTACTCACAGAGTACTCACACACACAGAGTACTCACAGAGTACTCACACACACAGAGTACTCACACAGCCTACACACACTACTACAGCAAGGGTATTTAGTACTCACAGAGTACTCACAAAGTACTCACACACAGAGTACTCACTCTACCCCTACCACTCTACCCCGACCACTCTACCCCGACCACTCCACCCCTACCACTCTACCCCTACCACTCCACCCCTACCACTCTACCCCTACCACTCCACCCCTATCACTCCACCCCTACCACTCCACCCCTACCACTCCACCCCTACCACTCCACCCCTACCACTCCACCCCTACCACTCTACCACTCCACCCCTACCACTCTACCACTCCACCCCTACCACTCCACTCCACCCCTACCACTCCACCCCTACCACTCCACTCCTACCACTCCACCCCTACCACTCTACACCTACCACTCCACCCCTACCACTCCACCTCTACCACTCCACCCCTACCACTCCACCTCTACCACTCTACCCCTACCACTCCACCCCTACCACTCCACCCCTACCACTCCACCCCTACCACTCTACCCCTACCACTCCACCCCTACCACTCCACCCCTACCACTCTACCCCTACCACTCTACACCTACCACTCCACCCCTACCACTCCACCCCTACCACTCCACCCCTACCACTCCACCCCTACCACTCCACCCCTACCACTCCACCCCTACCACTCCACCCCTACCACTCTACCCTACCACTCCACCCCTACCACTCCACCCCTACCACTCCACCCCTACCACTCCACCCCTACCACTCCACCCCTACCACTCCACCCTTACCACTCCACCCCTACACTCCACCCCTACCACTCCACCCCTACACTCTACCCCTACCACTCCACCCCTACCACTCCACCCCTACCACTCCACCCCTACCACTCCACCCCTACACTCCACCCCTACCACTCGACCCCTACCACTCCACCCCTACCACTCCACCCCTACCACTCCACCCTTACCACTCCACCCCTACCACTCCACCCCTACACTCCACCCCTACCACTTGACCCCTACCACTCCACCCCTACCACTCCACCCCTACCACTCCACCCCTACCACTCCACCCCTACACTCCACCCCTACCACTCGACCCCTACCACTCCACCCCTACCACTCCACCCCTACCACTCCACCCCTACCACTCCACCCCTACCACTCCACCCCTACCACTCCACCCCTACCACTCCACCCCTACCACTCCACCCCTACCACTCCACCCCTACACTCCACCCTACCACTCCACCCCTACACTCTACCCCTACCACTCCACCCCTACCACTCCACCCCTACCACTCCACCCCTACACTCCACCCCTACCACTCGACCCCTACCACTCCACCCCTACCACTCCACCCCTACCACTCCACCCCTACCACTCCACCCTTACCACTCCACCCCTACCACTCCACCCCTACACTCCACCCCTACCACTCGACCCCTACCACTCCACCCCTACCACTCCACCCCTACCACTCCACCCCTACCACTCCACCCCTACACTCCACCCCTACCACTCGACCCCTACCACTCGACCCCTACCACTCCACCCCTACCACTCCACCCCTACCACTCCACCCCTACCACTCCACCCCTACCACTCTACCCCTACCACTCTACACCTACCACTCCACCCCTACCACTCCACCCCTACCACTCCACCCCTACCACTCCACCCCTACCACTCTACCCCTACCACTCCACCCCTACCACTCCACCCCTACCACTCTACCCCTACCACTCTACACCTACCACTCCACCCCTACCACTCTACCCCTACCACTCTACACCTACCACTCCACCCCTACCACTCCACCCCTACCACTCCACCCCTACCACTCCACCCCTACCACTCGACCCCTACCACTCCACCCCTACCACTCCACCCCTACCACTCCACCCCTACCACTCCACCCCTACCACTCTACCCCTACCACTCTACACCTACCACTCCACCCCTACCACTCCACCCCTACCACTCCACCCCTACCACTCCACCCCTACCACTCTACCCCTACCACTCCACCCCTACCACTCCACCCCTACCACTCTACCCCTACCACTCTACACCTACCACTCCACCCCTACCACTCTACCCCTACCACTCTACACCTACCACTCCACCCCTACCACTCCACCCCTACCACTCCACCCCTACCACTCCACCCCTACCACTCCACCCCTACCACTCCACACCTACCACTCCACCCCTACCACTCCACCCCTACCACTCCACCCCTACCACTCCACCCCTACCACTCCACCCCTACCACTCCACCCCTACCACTCCACCCCTTACCACTCCACCCCTACCACTCCACCCCTACACTCCACCCCTACCACTCGACCCCTACCACTCCACCCCTACCACTCCACCCCTACCACTCCACCCCTACCACTCCACCCCTACCACTCCACCCCTACACTCCACCCCTACCACTCGACCCCTACCACTCCACCCCTACCACTCCACCCCTACCACTCCACCCCTACCACTCCACCCCTACCACTCGACCCCTACCACTCCACCCCTACCACTCCACCCCTACCACTCCACCCCTACCACTCCACCCCTACCACTCGACCCCTACCACTCCACCTCTACCACTCCACCCCTACCACTCTACCACTCCACCCCTACCACTTCACCCCTACCACTCCACCCCTACCACTCCACCCCTACCACTTTAACCCTACCACTCCACCCCTACCACTCCACACCTACCACTCCACCCCTACCACTCCACCCCTACCACTCCACCCCTACCACTCCACCTCTACCATTCCACCTCTACCATTCCACCCCTACCACTCCACCCCTACCACTCCACCCCTACCACTCCACCCCTACCACTCCACTCCACCCCTACCACTCCACTCCACCCCAACCACTCCACCCCTACCACTCCACCCCTACCACTCCACCCCTACCACTCCACCCCTACCACTCCACACCTACCACTCCACCCCTACCACTCCACACCTACCACTCCACCCCTACCACTCCACCCCTACCACCCTACCACTCCACCCCTACCACTCCACCCCTACCACTCCACCCCTACCACTCCACCCCTACCACTCCACCCCTACCACTCCACCCCTACCACTCCACCCCTACCACTCCACCCCTACCACTCCACCCCTACCACTCCACCCCTACCACTCCACCCCTACCACTCCACCCCTACCACTCGACCCCTACCACTCCACCCCTACCACTCCACCCCTACCACTCCACCCCTACCACTCCACCCCTACCACTCGACCCCTACCACTCCACCTCTACCACTCCACCCCTACCACTCCACTCCACCCCTACCACTCCACTCCACCCCTACCACTCCACCCCTACCACTCCACTCCACCCCTACCACTCCACTCCACCCCTACCACTCCACCCCTACCACTCCACCCCTACCACTCCACCTCTACCATTCCACCCCTTCCACTCCACCCCTACCACTCCACCCCTACCACTCTACCCCTACCACTCTACCCCTACCACTCTACCACTCCACCCCTACCGCTCCACCCCTACCGCTCCACCCCAACCACTCCACCCCTACCACTCCACCTCTACCACTCCACCCCTACCACTCCACCCCTACCACTCTACCACTCCACCCCTACCACTCCACCTCTACCACTCCACCCCTACCACTCCACCCCTACCACTCCACCCCTACCACTCCACCCCTACCACTCCACCCCTACCACTCCACCCCTACCACTCCACCCCTACCACTCCACCCCTACCACTCCACCCCTACCACTCCACCCCTACCACTCCACCCCTACCACTCCACCCCTACCACTCCACCCCTACCACTCCACCCCTACCGCTCCACCCCTGTCGCCAACTCAGAGCCTGAGCGTAAGAAAATGGTTGAAGCGACGACGCCAACAACCGGAGGCGGTGGAGGCGGTGGAGGCGGTGGAGGCGGTGGAGGCGGTGGAGGCGGTGGCGGTGGCGGTGGTGGTGGCTCGGAGTCAACTGCACAGCCGGCTCGCTCCAACAACCAGCAACAACCACCACAACAACCGCAAAAACAACAACAACAACCACAACATCAACATCCACAACAACAACAACAACCACAACAACAACCACAGCAACAACAACAACAACAACCGCCGCCAAAGATACAACTCAGTAGAGTGCCGCCCAAGGGAACGTCCACGCAGCAACAACAACAACCACAACAACCACAACAACAACCACAACAACAACCACAACAACAACCACAACAGCAACCACAACCACAACAACAACTTGGGGGTCCGGTGGTGGGGGGGTCCCCGGTGGTAGGGGGGGGCCCCCCACGAGGGGTGGGGGGCCCGGCGGGTGGTGGAGCTGTGGGCGACTCACGCAGCCTCAACGAGGAGCACTTCGTGTCCTCCATCGGTGAGTCCACCACCTCCTGGTGTGTAGTCCACTACCTCCTGGTGTTTAGTCCACCACCACCTGGTGTGTAGTCCACCACCACCTTGTGTAGTCCATCACCACCTCGTGTAGTCCATCACCACCTCGTGTAATCCACCACCACCTCGTGTAGTCCATCACCACCTCGTGTAGTCCACCACCACCTCGTGTAGTCCACCACCTCCTGGTGTGTAGTCCACCACCACCTCGTGTAGTCCACCACCACCTCGTGTAGTCCACCACCTCCTTGTGTGTAGTCCACCACCTCGTGTAGTCCACCACCACCTCGTGTAGTCCTCCACCTCGTGTAGTCCACCACCTCCTGGTGTGTAGTCCACCACCTCGTGTAGTCCACCACCTCCTGGTGTGTAGTCCATCACCTCCTGGTGTGTAGTCCACCACCTCCTGGTGTGTAGTCCACCACCTCGTGTAGTCCACCACCACCTTGTGTGTAGTCCATCACCTCCTGGTGTGTAGTCCACCACCACCTCGTGTAGTCCACCACCACCTTGTGTGTAGTCCATCACCTCCTGGTGTGTAGTCCACCACCTCGTGTAGTCCACCACCACCTTGTGTGTAGTCCACCACCTCCTACATACACGCACAGACACACACACAACAACAACAACCGCCATTCGCCACTAAGTGGCGGTGACGTCACCACGACGCTTGTGCCAGGCTATGTGCACCCTGAGGCCACGTGAAGTGTCGAACGCCCGCGGGCAGGAAGTCACGGGGCAGACCCAGGTGCCACGGGTCGACTGACTGAGATGACTGGCTGATGCACAACCTTTTCCCCCTACTGTGCCAACCTACTGTGCTTTAGCCACCCGGCGCTCCGCTCATTGTTGTGAGCGTCGCTCCTTCGCCCTCCGTTGTTGTTGGAGGGCGACTGCCTCCAACTGCCCAGTAGCGTCCTTCACGAGCCTCCTCCACAGAGGCCGATCTTGACACCGCTGGTACCAGTCATCGGCAAGTCCACTCAGCTCCACGTCCTCCTGTACCACATCACTCCATCTCTTCTCTAGCCCGTGCCGCGCCCGTTTAGCTCCCTCCATCCGACTGAACAAAAGCTGTTTCGGCATGCGATGGCTGGGCATGCGGGCTACATGACCCAGCCAATGCAGCCTTGCCTGCCGGAGGAGCTCACCGATGGGACCTTGCCCAGATCTTTCAAGGATTTGTGAGCTCCTCACACAATCCAGTCTGGTTAAACCCAGGATGGAACGTAGGCAGGCCAGCCTAAATGTTTCTAACCGGCAAAGATGTTCCATTAGGGGGGTCCACGTTTCGCAAGCGTAGAGAAGGGAGGGAATGACCGTGGCCGAGAAGACCTGAAGCTTAGTGCGGAGTGACAGACCAAGAAGTTTCCACACAGCGTTACGCAACCGATGAAAAGAAATTGCCGCTCGACTGATTCGGAGTGAGACCTCTGCTGTTAAACCGGAGCCGGTCATAAGCACACTGCCCAGGTATGGAAAACTCTCCACTCTCTCCACAACTGCCCCATCACCGATTGGGAGTTGTGGGGGTGGAGTGTCTGATGGTACAAAATACCCAGGCAGGTGCTGAGTTTTGGTGGGGCTGATGGTAAGGCCCCATCTCTTAGTGGCACGCTCCAGTCTCAGCAGCAGCGTCTCCAACTCCTCTGAATGAGCAGCTATTACCAAATCATCGGCATACATAACGTGGTTGAGCTATAGGGAGCCATCCCTTGACTGCACCTGGGCATCGATCAGCCTCCCATTATATCTCTACCATATGGAGATTCCCCCGGTACAACTATTGAAGGCTTCACCAACTACGTGGTCAAAATAGATGTTAAATAATGTGGGAGCCAGAGGACATCCCTGTCGCACCCCAAGGTGTACAGGGAATGGCTCTGACTCCCGGCCACGTAGTTTTACCCGGGCCCGCTCACCATAATGAAGGTCCTTAATGATCGTGAGCAGAGGGTCAGGTACTCCTGACCCTCTGCTCGAAGACCAACCCAGAGCCCAGCCCTACTGATGGTATCATAGGCCTTGACCAGGTCAATAAAGCAGAGATGTAGGTCTTGCTGGAATTCCCTACACCTCTGCTGTAGCAGACGGACAGAAAATATGGCATCTGTGCAGGACCGCCCTTTCCTGAAACCGCATTGGGGCTCCGCAAGCCTCTCCTCAGCGTGCCTGGCAAGGCGATGTTGAATAATCCTTGCCAGGACCTTTCCCGGCACACTGCGGAGTGAGATGCCCCTGTAGTTGTTACAGTCTGTGCGGTCCCCCTTCTTAAAGAGGGGGACCACCAGGGCATCCTTCCAGTCCTGCGGAACCCGTCCAGTGGTCCAGACTTTTGTTATGATGTCATTTAGGGCAGTCTGTGCACAAACGCCACCCTCCCTCAGCATTTTGCTTGGGAGATCATCTCTGCCCGCTGCCTTTCCTGGTCTCAGACTCCGGATCGCCTTCAGTACTTCCTCAACAGATGGCACTTCAGCCAGCCACTCACAGGGGGTGACTTCTTCCAATATTTGAGGCACCGCAGCCTCAGCAGGGTCATCCTCACTTTGTGCCACGATGTTTTCCTGGCTGAGGGATTTTCCCTCCCCCAGGACCTCACAGAAATGCTCAGCAAATCTGCAAACCTGTTCCTGGGGGTCAGAGATTGGATCACCGTTTTTTCGCCTAATGATGGTAATAGGTGTGGCGCTACAGGTTATTTTTTTTATGGAGTTAAATAGAGATTTGTGATCGTGGGCCACTGAGGCAGACTCCATCTCCTCAGCAACCCGCGACCACTACCCATCCTTGCAGTGCCTCACGGCTCTCCGAACCTCCGAGCAAAGGCTGCGGTAAGCCTCCTCATTCTCTGACGTGGGATTCTGTAGCCGATGACAGTGGGCCTGTCGCTTTTTCTCAACCATCCTGAACACCTCCTCTGTCAGCCAGGGTCTCTGGGGAGGTCTGGACCGCATACCCAAAGCAGCCATTGCAGCTGCATGAGTCACAGTCCTAAACCTCACCCATTTACCCTCGACATCAGGAGGAGTCGGGGACGATGCCAATCCCAGCCGCAAGCGATTATGAAATTCTCGTTTGCAACTTTCATCAGATAACTGAGACCAGGCCACTTTAGGTTGGAATGGGGTCCTGGGTGTACACCCCCCACCGGAGTGGAAGAATGGCAGGCGCATCTTACAGATGACTAGTCGATGGTCAGAGGGCAGATCAGCTCCACAGTAGGTTCTGGTGTCAATGACATGGGCTCGCATCCGCTGGTCTGTCACTATGTAGTCCAGCAGATGTTCTTGCTTGGACCTGGCATGCATCCATGATGTTGTGTGGATGCGCCGATGCCGGAACAGCGTGTTGGTAATTACAAGCCCATGGGCTGCACAAAAATCTAGCAGCCTCCTAACGTTGTTATTGAGCTAATCTGGCCCATGCCCTCCAGTCACTCCAGACCAGGTGCCAGCATCATGACCAACTTGGGCATTGAAGTCACCCAACATGATGACTCTATCCCGAGGGGCCACTTCAGCCAGCACCTGTGACAGGAGGTCATAGAAGGCATCTGACTCATCGGCTTTGCCTGCATCCCTCCACGGATGTTCATCTTCGGTGGGGGCATAAGTAACCACAACCACCATTCCTCGCCTCCGGTTGATGGGAAGGTGAGCCTAAAGTAGCCTTGGGCTTACAGCTTCCCACACCTCACCACCACGCTCCCACGCCCCCTTCATTCTTTTGTTCAAAAGAAGAGCCACACCCTGTTGTTTGGCAGTCTGCTGCCCCGAGTAGAGGACTGTCCACCCCTCATGGTGGCAGGAACCAGAGCCGGTCCACCGGACCTCCTGAATGCCACAGAGATCCAGGCGGCACCGGTCCAGCTCCCGACAGAGGAGTGGCAGCCTCTCCTCCGCAGTGAGCGTTCGAACATTCCACGTGGCCACCCGTAGTGGCTTTTCGTTGTTTCTGGAGGAGCCCCGAGGGTAGAGATTCAATCTCCTGGCTCCGCCAATTGGGGTTTGGCCAGGAGACGTCATAGACGCCTGGCCCCCCGGGGCCTCCGGCACAAGCTTATTAGTTACATATTTAATTCGTAGTTTAGTGGTAATTAATTGAAGGTGGAGGGGTTACCAGCCCCTCGCACCCGTCCAGAGCCCCCGTTTAGCCACTGTGGTGGACACGGACGCCACGAGAGGAGGAGCCAATCGGAATTGGCTCCTCCCCCCACAGCACTGTCCACGACAGAGTTGCCCGTCCGGCACCGCGAGGAGGTAGGGGGTTGTTTTGCCGGACACACACACTGTCACAAAGATCCCCCGTATAGCCTTAATAGACTGTAGGGGCAAGTGCTGTTAGCGAGCACCTATGAAGGCCAGAACGGTACACGAGGGGGTGGGTGGCCAGCACCACGCCCGACCGCCTTTGTCTCCCTAGTGGCGATGTTTACACACCGCACCAGGTACTCATTTGAGGCTGAGTCGACCTAGGGGAGGCCCGGGACCGGTTCAGATAATCGTCACCGGTGTTGGCCGTGAGCGGGAATCGAACCCGGGTCGCCAGGTTCATAGCGCAGCGTAGCGCTAACCACTACACCCACCGCTCCCCACACACACACTGACACACACACACTGTCACACACACACACTGTCACACACACACTGACACACACACACTGTCACACACACACTGACACACTGATTGAGTGGTGGGTGGGTGATGTCGTGGTGGTGGTGGTGGTGACGTTACAGGCACAGAGGGAGGTGGTGGTGGTGGTGACGATGGTGAGGAGGAGGAGGAGGTGGTGGTGAGGAATCGCTCGGCCCTCATCCACTCCAGCAGCCAGGAATCGGTGAGCAGCACCGTGGTGAGCTGATGATGATGGTGATCGTGCTGATGATGATGGTGCTGATGATGATGATGATCGTGCTGATGATGATGATGATCGTGCTGATGATGATGATGATGGTGCTGATGATGATGATGGTGCTGATGATGATGATGGTGATGATGGTGCTGATGATGTTGATGATGATGATGGTGCTGATGATGTTGATTATGTTGATGATTATGATGATGGTGCTGATGATGATGATGTTGAAGATGCTGCTGATGATGTTGATGTTGATGATGATGGTGCTGATGATGATGATGATGGTGCTGATGATGATGATGGTGCTGATGATGATGATGGTGATGATGGTGCTGATGATGATGATGATGGTGCTGATGATGTTGATGATGTTGATGATTATGATGATGGTGCTGATGATGATGATGTTGAAGATGCTGCTGATGATGTTGATGATGATGGTGCTGATGATGATGATGATGGTGCTGATGATGATGATGGTGCTGATGATGATGATGGTGGTGATGATGATGGTGGTGGTGCTGATGATGATGATGGTGCTGATGATGGTGCTGATGATGATGATGGTGGTGCTGATGATGATGCTGATGATGGTGCTGATAATGTTGATGAAGATGATGATGGTGCTGATGATGATGGTGCTGATAATGTTGATGAAGATGATGATGGTGCTGATGATGATGATGGTGCTGATGATGATGGTGCTGATGATGATGATGGTGGTGATGATGATGATGGTGCTGCTGATGATGGTGCTGATGATGATGATGGTGGTGATGATGTTGATGAAGATGATGATGATGGTGCTGATGATGATGATGGTGCTGATGATGATGATGGTGGTGATGATGATGGTGCTGATGATGATGATGGTGGTGATGATGATGATGGTGCTGCTGATGATGGTGCTGATGATGATGATGGTGGTGATGATGTTGATGAAGATGATGATGATGATGATCGTGCTGATGATGATGGTGATGCTGCTGATGTTGATGATGATGGTGCTGATGATGATGGAGCTGATGATGACGGTGCTGCTGATGATGAGGATGTTGA